TGTGGTGTGTGTGGTGTGTGTGGTGTTTGTGTGTGTGGTGTGTGTGTCAACCCCCACCGAGAAAGAGAGACACGGCCATCTTGAACCCACTCACTCACCCCTCACTCACCCCTCCCTCACCCCTCACTCACCCCTCACCCCTCACTCACTCACCCCTCACTCACCCCTTACTCACCCCTCACTCACTCACTCACTGACCCCTCACTCACCCCTCACTCACTCCTCACTCACCCCCTCACTCACCCCTCACTCACTCACCCCTCACTCACCCCTCCCTCACCCCTCACTCACTCACCCCTCACTCACCCCTCCGTCACCCCTCACTCACTCACCCCTCACTCACCCCTCACTCACTCACCCCTCACTCACCCCTCACTCACTCACTCACTGACCCCTCACTCACTCACCCCTCACCCCTCACTCACTGACCCCTCACTCACTCACCCCTCACCCCTCACTCACCCCTCACTCACTCACCCCTCACTTACTCACCCCTCACTCATCCCTCCCTCCCTCACCCCTCACTCACCCACCCCTCCACTCACCCCTTACTCACCCCTCACTCACTCGCCCCCCCCTCACTCACCCCTCACCCCTCACTCACCCCTCACTCACTCACCTACCCCTCACTCACCCCTCACTCACCCCTCACTCACCCCCTCACTCACCCCTCACTCACTCCTCACTCACCCCCTCACTCACCCCTCACTCACTCACCCCTCACTCACCCCTCACTCACCCCTCACTCACTCACCCCTCACTCACCCCTCACTCACCCACCCCTCACTCACCCCTCACTCACGCCTCCCTCACCCCTCACTCACCCCTCACTCACTCACCCCTCACTCATTCACCTCTCACTCACTCACCCCTCACCCCTCACTCACCCCTCACTCACTCACCCCTCACTTACTCACCCCTCACTCACTCACCCCTCACTCACCCCTCCCTCACCCCTCACTCACTCACCCCTCACTCACTCACCCCTCACTCACCCCCTCACTCACCCCTCACTCACCCCTCACTCATTCACCCCTCATTCACCCCTCCCTCACCCCTCACTCACTCACCCCTCTCTCACCCCCTCACTCACCCCTCACTCACCCCTCACTCACCCCTCCCCCACCCCTCACTCACCCCTCACCCCTCACTCACCCCTTACTCACCCCTCACTCACTCACTCACTGACCCCTCACTCACTCCTCACTCACCTCTCAGTTACCCCTCACTCACTCACCCCTCACCCCTCACTCACTCACCCCTCACCCCTCACTCACCCCTTACTCACCCCTCACTCACTCACTCACTGACCCCTCACTCACTCACCCCTCACTCACCCCTCACTCACCCCTCACTCACTCACTGACCCCTCACTCACTCACCCCTCACTCACCCCTCACTCACTCACCCCTCACTTACTCACCCCTCACTCATCCCTCCCTCCCTCACCCCTCACTCACCCACCCCTCCACTCACCCCTCACTCACCCCTCACTCACTCGCCCCCCCTCACTCACCCCTCAACCTCACTCACCCCTCACTCACTCACCTACCCCTCACTCACCCCTCACTCACCCCTCACTCACTCACCCCTCACTCACCCTTCACTCACCCCTCACTCACCCCTCACTCACCCACCCCTCTACTCACCCCTTATTCACCCCTCACTCACCCACCCCTCACTCACCCCTCATTCACTCACCCCTCACTCACCCCTCACTCACTCACCTACCCCTCACTCACCCCTCACTCACTCCTCACTCACCCACCTCTCACTCACTCACCCCTCCCTCACCCCTCACTCACCCCTCCCTCACCCACCCCTCACTCACCCCTCCTTCACCCCTCCTTCACCCCTTACTCACCCGTCACTCACCCCTTACTCACCCCTCACTCACTCACTCACTGACCCCTCACTCACTCACCCCTCACTCATTCACCTCTCATTCCTCACTCACTCACCCCTCACTCACACTTCACTCACCCGCTCACTTACCCCTCACTCACTCACCCCTCACTCATTCACCTCTCACTCCTCACTCACTCACCCCTCACTCACCCTTCACTCACCCCCTCACTCACCCCTCACTCACTCCTCACCCCCTCACTCACCCCCTCACTCACCCCTCACTCACTCACCCCTCACTCACCCCTCCCTCACCCCTCACTCACTCACCCCTCTCTCACCCCCTCACTCACCCCTCACTCACCCCTCACTCACTCACCCCTCACTCACCCACCCCTCCACTCACCCCTTACTCACCCCTCACTCACCCACCCCTCACTCATTCACCCCTCACTCACCCCTCACTCACTCCTCACTCACTCACTCCTCACTCACCCCTCACTCACCCCTCACCTCTCACTCACCCCTCACTCACCCCTCCCTCACCCCTCACTCACCCCTCAGTTACCCCTCACTCACTCACCCCTCACTCACCCCTCACCCCTCACTCACCCCTTACTCACCCCTCACTCACTCACTCACTGACCCCTCACTCACTCACCCCTCACCCCTCACTCACCCCTCACTCACCCCTCACCCCTCACTCACCCCTCACTCACTCACCCACCCCTCACTCACTCCTCACTCACCCCTCACTCACTCGCCCCCCCTCACTCACCCCTCACTCACCCCTCACTCACCCCCTCACTCACCCCTCACTCACCCCTCACCCCTCACCCCTCACTCACTCACCCCTCACTCACCCCTTACTCACCCCTCACTCACTCACTCACTGACCCCTCACTCACTCCTCACCCCTCACTCACCCCCCACCCACCCCTCACTCACCCCTCACTCACTCACTCACCCCCTCACTCACCCCTCACTGACCCCTCACTCACCCCTCACTCACTCACCTCTCACTCACCCCTCACTCACTCACCTCTCACTCACCCCTCACTCACTCACCCCTCACTCATTCACCCGTCACTCACCCCTCCCTCACCCCTCACCCCTCACTCACCCCTCACTCACCCTTCACTCACCCCTCACCCCTCCTTCACCCCTCCTTCACCCTTCACTCACCCCTCACTCACCTCTTACTCACCCCTCACTCACTCACTCACTGACCCCTCACTCCTCACTCACTCACCCCTCACTCACCCTTCACTCACCCCCTCACTCACCCTTCACTCACTCACTCCTCACCCCTCACTCACCCCCCACCCACCCCTCACTCACCCCTCACTCACTCACTCACTCACCCCCTCACTCACCCCTCACTGACCCCTCACTCACCCCTCACTCACTCACCCCTCACTCACCCCTCACTCACTCACCTCTCACTCACCCCTCACTCACTCACCCCTCACTCACCCCTCACTCACTCACCCCTCACTCACCCCTCCCTCACCCCTCACCCCTCACCCCTCACTCACCCCTCACTCACCCTTCACTCACCCCTCACCCCTCCTTCACCCCTCCTTCACCCTTCACTCACCCCTCACTCACCTCTTACTCACCCCTCACTCACTCACTCACTGACCCCTCACTCCTCACTCACTCACCCCTCACTCACCCTTCACTCACCCCCTCACTCACCCCTCACTCACTCCTCACCCCCTCACTCACCCCTCACTCACCCCTCACTCACTCACCCCTCACTCACCCCTCACTCACTCACCCCTCACTCACCCTTCACTCACCCCCTCACTCACCCCTCACTCACTCCTCACCCCCTCACTCACCCCTCACTCACTCACCCCTCCCTCACCCCTCACTCACTCACCCCTCTCTCACCCCCTCACTCACCCCTCACTCACCCCTCACTCACTCACCCCTCACTCACCCACCCCTCCACTCACCCCTTACTCACCCCTCACTCACCCACCCCTCACTCATTCACCCCTCACTCACCCCTCACTCACTCACCCCTCACTCACCCCTCCCTCACCCCTCACTCACTCACCCCTCACTCACTCACCCCTCACTCACTCACCCCTCACCCACCCCTCACCCACCCCTCCCTCACCCCTCCCTCACCCCTCACTCACTCCTCACTCACCTCTCACTCACCCCTCACTCACCCCCCACTCACCCCTCACTCACCTCTCACTCACCCCCCACTCACCCCTCACTCACCCCTCACTCACCTCTCACTCACCCCTCACTCACCCCCCACTCACCCCTCACTCACCTCTCACTCACCCCCCACTCACCCCTCACTCACTCACCCCTCACTCACCCCTCCCTCACCCCTCACTCACCTCTCACTCACCCCTCACTCACCCCCCACTCACTCACCCCTCACTCACCCCCCACTCACCCCTCACTCACCCCTCACTCACCTCTCACTCACCCCTCATTCACCCCCCACTCACCCCTCACTCACCTCTCACTCACCCCCCACTCACCCCTCACTCACTCACCCCTCCCTCACCCCTCACTCACTCACCCCTCACTCACCCCCTCACTCACCCCTCACTCACCCCTCACTCACCCCTCCCTCACCCCTCACTCACTCACCTCTCACTCACCCCTCACTCACCCCTCACTCACCCCTCACTCACTCACCCCTCACTCACCCCCTCACTCACCCCTCACTCACCCCTCACTCACTCCTCACTCACTCACCCCTCACTCACCCCTCCCTCACCCCTCCCTCACCCCTCACTCACTCACCTCTCACTCACCCCTCACTCACCCCTCACTCACTCACCCCTCACTCACCCCTCACTCACCCCTCACTCACCCCTCACTCACTCACCCCTCACTCACCCCTCACTCACCCCTCACTCACTCACCCCTCACTCTGGTGGAGGACGCCTCTAGCGGCCTCTGGTGGAGGTGGTCTCTAGCGGCCTCTGGTGGAGGTGGTCTCTAGCGGCCTCTGGTGGAGGTGGTCTCTAGCGGCCTCTGGTGGAGGTGGTCTCTAGCGGCCTCTGGTGGAGGTGGTCTCTAGCGGCCTCTGGTGGAGGTGGTCTCTAGCGGTCTCTGGTGGAGGTGGTCTCTAGCGGCCTCTGGTGGAGGTGGTCTCTAGCGGCCTCTGGTGGAGGAGGCCTCTAGCGGCCTCTGGTGGAGGTGGTCTCTAGCGGCCTCTGGTGGAGGACGCCCCTAGCGGCCTCTGGTGGAGGTGGTCTCTAGCGGCCTCTGGTGGAGGAGGCCTCGAGGCGGAGTGGAGCGGCGTGCTCGCCCGCACTGTACACGGGGTAGCCCCGCACTGTACACGGGGCCTGAGGCGGCAGTGAAGGTGAAGTCGAGGTTAGTGGTGGTGGTGGTGAGCGGTGGTGAGTGAGTGGTGGTGGTGGTGAGTGGTGGTGGTGAGTGAGTGGTGGTGGTGAGCGGTGGTGAGTGAGTGGTGGTGGTGAGTGAGTGAGTGGTGGTGGTGAGCGGCGGTGGTGGTGAGCGGCGGCGGTGGTGAGCGGTGGTGAGTGAGTGAGTGGTGGTGAGCGGTGGTGGTGGTGAGCGGTGGTGAGTGTCTGTGTGTCTGTGTGTACGTGTGAGTGTGTGTACGTGAGTGTATCTACGTAAGTGTGTGTACGTGTGAGTGTATGTACGTGAGTGTGTGTACGTGTGAGTGTATGTGTGTGTATGTGTGTATGTGCGTGGGGAGCGGTAGTGTAGCGGTTAGCGCGCTGCGCTATGAACCTGGCGACCCGGGTTCGATTCCCGCTCACGGCCAACACCAGTGACGATTATCTGAACCGGTCCCGGGCCTCCCCTAGGTCGACTCAGCCTCAAATGAGTACCTGGTGCGGTGTGTAAACATTGCCACTAGGGAGACAAAGGCGGTCGGGCGTGGTGCTGGCCACCCACCCCCTCGTGAACCGTTCCGGCCTTCATAGGTGCTCGTTAACAGCACTTGCCCCTACAGTCTGTTAAGGCTATATGAGGGATCTTTGTCTTTGTGTGTGAGTGTGTGTACGTGTACGTGTGAGTCTGTGTACGTGTGAATGCGTGTACGTGTGATGGTCTGTGTGTGTGTGTACGTGTGAGTGCGTGTACGTGTGAGTGTGTATGTGTGTATATGTGACCCTCTGCTCACGATCATTAAGGACCTTAATGATGGTGAGCGGGCCCGGGTAAAACTACGTGGCCGGGAGTCAGAGCCATTCCCTGTTCACCTTGGGGTGCGACAGGGATGTCCTCTGGCTCCCACATTATTTAACATCTATTTTGACCACGTGGTTCGTGAAGCCTTCAATAGCTGTACCGGGGGAATCTCCATCTGGTACAGATATAATGGGAGGCTGATCGATGCCCGGGTGCGGTCAAGGGATGGCTCCCGATTGCTCAACCACGTTATGTATGCCGATGATTTGGTAATAGCTGCTCAGTCAGAGGAGGAGTTGGAGACGCTGCTGCTGCTGAGACTGGAGCGTGCCACTAAGAGATGGGGCCTTACCCTCAGCCCCACCAAAACTAAGCACCTGCCTGGGTATTTTGTACCATCGGACACTCCACCCCCACAACTCCCAATCGGTGATGGGGCAGTTGTGGAGAGAGTGGAGAGTTTCCCATACTTGGGCAGTGTGCTTATGACTGGCTCCAGTTTAACAGCAGAGGTCTCACTCCGAATCAGTCGAGCGGAAATATCTTTTCATCGGTTGCGTAACGCTGTGTGGAAGCTACCTGGTCTGTCGCTCCGCACTAAACTTCAGGTCTTCTCGGCCACGGTCATTCCCTCCCTTCTCTACGCTTGCGAAACGTGGACCCCCATAATGGAACATCTTCGCCGGTTAGAAGCATTTAGGCTGGCCTGCCTACGATCCATCCTGGGTTTAACCAGACTGGATTGTGTGAGGAGCTCACAAATCCTTGAAAGATCTGGGCAAGATCCCATCGGTGAGCTCCTCCGGCGGGCAAGGCTGCGATGGCTGGGTCATGTAGCCCGCATGCCCAGCCACCGCATGCCGAAACAGCTTTTGTTCGGCCGGATCGAGGGGGCTAAGCGGGCGCGGCACGGGCTAGAGAAGAGATGGAGTGACGTGGTACAGGAGGACGTGGAGCTGAGTGGACTTGCCGATGACTGGTACCAGCGGCGTCAAGATCGGCCTCTGTGGAGGAGGCTCGTGAAGGATGCTACTGGGCAGTTGGAGGCAGTCGCCCTCCAACAACAACGGAGGGCGGAGGAGCGACGCTCACAACAACGAGCGGAGCGCCAGGTGGCTAAAGCACAGCAGGTTGGCACAGTGGGGGGCACAGGTGGTGCATCAGCCAGTCATCTCAGTAATCTCAGTCAGTCGATCCGTGGCACCTGGGTCTGCCCCGTGACCTCCTGCCAGCGGGCGTTCGACACTTCATGTGGCCTCAGGGTGCACATAGCCTGGCACAAGCGTCGTGGTGACGTCACCGCCACTTAGTGGCGAATGGCGGTTGTTGTTGTTGTGTGTTGGTGTGTGTATATATGTATGTGTGTATGTATGTGTATGTATGTGTGTGTATGTGTGTGTACGTATGTATGTGTGCATGTGTGTGTATGTATGTGTATGTATGTATGTGTGTATGTATGTGTGTATGTGTGTATGTATGTGTGTGTATGTATGTGTGCATGTGTGTGTATGTATGTGTGTGTGTATGTGTGTGTATGTGTGCATGTGTGTGTGTGTGCAATGCACTCTGTGTGCAGGATCTCTTCGCACCGAAATTCCCGCGTAGCTCCGTCGCCCGGGCCACCACCTCGTCGCTCACCACCCCTCCTCCTCACCACCACCTCCTCACCACCTCCTCACCTCTGCCGCCTGCTCTACGATGCACTCTGACCTGTCACCTCACCTTCACACGGACGCCTGCAACGCCGTCATCGCTCAGCTGCACTCCTGTCATCAGCAGGTGACCCACAACGTCTCATCTCTCTCTCCGTCTCTTATCTTTCTTGTCTCTCATCTCTTGTCTCTCTTGTCTCTCTCTCTTACCTCTCTTGTCTCTCTCTTATCTCTCTTGTCTCTCTCTTGTCTCTCTCTCTTATCTCTCTCTTGTCTCTCTATCTTATCTCTCTATTATCTCTCTCTTATCTCTCTATCTAATCTCTATCTTATCTCTCTATTATCTCTCTATCTAATCTCTATCTTATCTCTATCTTATCTCTCTACACTACAATATACACTACACACTACACTATACACTACTATATATTAGACTATACACTACACTATACACTACACTACTATACACTACACTATATACTACACTATACACTACATACTACACTACCACTACTATACACTACACTATACACTACACTACTACACACTACACTACACTATATACTACACTACTACTACTACTATACACTACACTATACACTACTATCCACTATACTACACTATACACTACACTACTACACACTACACTACTATACACTACACTATTACACACTATACTATACACACTACACTATACACACTACACTATACACTACACTAAACACTACACTATACACTACTATACACTACACTACTATACACTGCACTATACACTACACTATACACTACACTATTACACACTACACTATACACTACACTATACACTACACTATTACACACTACACTATACACTACACTATACACTACACTATACTACACACTACACTATACACTACACTCTACACACTACACTACACTATATACTACACTAAACACTACACTACTATACACTATACACTACACTATACTATACACTACACTACACTATACACTACACTACTATACACTACACTATACACTACACTATACACTACACTATACACTACACACTACACTACTATACACTACACTATACACTACTATACACTACACTACTATACACTACACTACTATACACTACACTACTATACACTACACTACTATACACTACACTACTATACACTACACTACTACACACTATACACTACTACACACTATACACTACACACTACACTACACACTATACACTACACACTACACTACACACTATACACTACACTATTACACACTTTCGCGGCACACTTGCCGGGGACAGACCCTGAGTGTGTGGTGTGGTGTGGGTGGGACAGACTGTGTGTGTGTGTGGGTGTGTGGGACAGATCGTGAGTGTGTGTGGGTGGTGTGTGGGTGGTGTGTGTGTTGTGTGTGGGTGGTGTGTGTGGGTGGTGTGTGTGGGTGGTGTGTGTGGGTGGTGTGTGTGGGTGGTGTGTGTGGTGTGTGTGTGTGTGGTGTGTGTGGGTGGTGTGTGTGTGTGGGTGGTGTGTGTGTGGTGTGTGTGGGTGGTGTGTGTGTGTGGTGTGTGTGTGTGTGGTGTGTGTGGTGTGTGTGTGTGGTGTGTGTGTAGTGTGTGTGTGTGGTATGTGTGTGTGTGTGGTATGTGTGTGTGTGTGGTATGTGTGTGTGTGTGGTATGTGTGTGTGTGTGTGGTATGTGTGTGTGGTGTGTGTGGAGTGTGTGGCGTGTGTGTGTGTGTGGTGTGTGTGTGTGTGTGGTATGTGTGTGTGTGGTGTGTGTGGGTGGTGTGTGTGTGGGTGGTGTGTGTGTGTGTGGTGTGTGTGTGACAGACCGTGTGTGTGGGTGGTGTGTGTGTGTGGGTGGTGTGTGTGTGTGTGGTGTGTGTGTGGTGTGTGTGTGTGGTGTGTGTGTGTGTGGTATGTGTGTGTGTGGTGTGTGTGTGTGTGACCGACCGTGTGTGTGTGTGTGGTGTGTGTGTGGTATGTGTGTGTGTGTGGTGTGTGTGTGGTGTGTGTGTGGTGTGTGTGTGTGGTGTGTGTGTGGTGTGTGTGTGGTGTGTGTGTGTGGTGTGTGTGTGTGTGGTATGTGTGTGTGTGGTGTGTGTGTGTGTGACCGACCGTGTGTGTGTGTGTGGTGTGTGTGTGGTATGTGTGTGTGTGTGGTGTGTGTGTGGTGTGTGTGTGTGTGGTGTGTGTGTGGTGTGTGTGTGTGTGACAGACCGTGTGTGCCCCGCGTCTCTTTGTACAGTACCCGTGGCTCAAGTTCACCGGCCGGTGCAACGCCATCGACCACGAGATGCGCGTCTGTCTCAAGGGGGAGGTGAGGACGCACGCCCACCTGCTCACCCACTCGCTCACCCACTTGCTCACCTACCCGCTCACCCGCCCGCTCACTCACCCACTCGCTCACCCACTCGCTCACCCACCCGCTCACTCGCTCACTCACCCACTCGCCCGCTCGCTCGCTCGCTCGCTCGCTCACCCACTCGCCTGCTCGCTCACTCGCCCACCCGCTTACCCACTCGCTCGCTCACTCGCCCACCCGCTCACTCACCCGCTCACTCGCCCACCCGCTCGCTCACTCGCTCACTCGCTCACCCGCTCACTCGCCCGCCCACTCGCCCACCCGCTCACCCACTCGCTCTCCCGCTCACTCGCTTGCCCGCTCGTTCGCCCACTCGCTCGCCCGCTCGTTCGCCCACACGCTCGCTCGCCCACTCGTTCGCCCACACGCTCGGTCGCCCACTCACTCGCTCGCCCGCCCGCGCATTCACTCATTCGCCCACTCATTCGTTCGCCCACTCACTCACTCACTCGCTCGCTCGCCCACCCGCCTACTCACTCATTCACCCACTCGTTCGCTCGCTCATTCACTCGCCCGCCTACTCGCTCGGTCGCCCACTCTGCCGCCCGCCCGCTCGCTCACTGATCCACCCGCTCGCTCGCTCACTCATCCACCCGCTCGCTCGCTCGTCTAGCCGCTCGCTCGCCCGCCTAGCCGTTCACTCGCCCACTCGCTCGCCCACTCGCTCGCCCACTCGCTCGCCCACTCGCTCGCCCACTCGCTCGCCCACTCGCTCGCCCACTCGCTCCACGCGGAGGCTCCACGGTGGGTCAGTGGCGGTGTGGGTGGGGTGGGTGGGGTGGGTGGGGTGGGTGGGGTGGGTGGGTATAGGTGTGTGTAGTGTGTGTGTAGTGTGTGTGTAGTGTGTGTGTGGTGTGTGTGTGGTGTGTGTGTGGTGTGTGTGTGTGTAGTGTGTGTGTGGTATGTGTGTGTGTAGTGTGTGTGGTGTGTGTAGTGTGTGTGGTGTGTGTGTGTGTGTGGTGTGTGTGTGTGGTGTGTGTGGTGTGTGTGTGTGGTGTGTGTGTGGTGTGTGTGGTGTGTGTGTGTGGTGTGTGTGGTGTGTGTGTGGTGTGTGTGTGTGTGTGGTGTGTGTGTGGTGTGTGTGTGGTGTGTGTGGTGTGTGTGTGTGGTGTGTGTGTGGTGTGTGTGTGGTGTGTGTGTGTGGTGTGTGTGGTGTGTGTGTGGCGTGTGTGTGTGGTGTGTGTGGTGTGTGTGTGTGGTGTGTGTGTGGTGTGTGTGGTGTGTGTGTGTGGTGTGTGTGGTGTGTGTGTGTGGTGTGTGTGTGTAGTGTGTGTGTGGTGTGTGGTGTGTGTGGTGTGTGTGTGGTGTGTGTGTGTAGTGTGGTGTGTGTGTGTAGTGTGTGTAGTGTGTGTGGTGTGTGTGTAGTGTGTGTGTAGTGTGTGTGTGTAGTGTGTGTGTGGTGTGTGTGTAGTGTGTGTGTGTGTAGTGTGTGTGTGGTGTGTGTGTGGTGTGTGTGTGGTGTGTGTGTAGTGTGTGTGTGATGTGTGTGTAGTGTGTGTGTGGTGTGTGTGTAGTGTGTGTGTGGTGTGTGTGTAGTGTGTGTGTGGTGTGTGTGTAGTGTGTGTGTGTAGTGTGTGTGTGGTATGTGTGTGTGTAGTGTGTGTGTGTAGTGTGTGTGTGGTTGTGTGTGGTGTGTGTGTGTGTGTGTAGTGTGGGGGTGGTGTGTAGTGTGTGTGGTGTGTGTGTAGTGGGTGTGTGGTGGGTGTGGTGTGTGTGTGGTGTGTGTGTAGTGTGTGTGTAGTGTGTAGTGTGTGTGTGGTGTGTGTGTAGTGTGGTGTTTGTGTGTGTGTGTGTGTGGTGTGTGTGTAGTGTGTGTGTGTGTGGTGTGTGTAGTGTGGTGTTTGTGTGTGTGGTGTGTGTGTGGTGTGTGTGTAGTGTGTGTGCGGTGTGTGTGTGGTGTGTGTGTAGTGTGGTGTGTGTGGTGTGTGTAGTGTGTGTGTGTGTAATGTGTGTAGTGTGTGTGTGTGCTCTGTGTGTGTAGTGTGTGTGGTGTGTGTAGTGTGTGTGGTGTGGTGTGGTGTGTGGTGTGTGTGTGCTGTGTTTGGTGTGTGTGTGGTGTGTGTGTAGTGTGTGGTCTGTGTGATGTGTGTGTGTAGTGTGTGTGGTGTGTGTGGTGTGTTGTGTGTGTGTGCTGTGTGTGGTGTGTGTAGTGTGTGTGGTGTGTGTGTAGTTTGTGGTGTGTGTGGTGTGTGTGTGGTGTGTGTGTGGTGTGTGGTGTGTGTGGTGTGTTTGGTGTGTGTGTGGTGTGTGTGGTGTGTGTGGTGTGTGTAGTGTGTGTGGTGTGTGTGTCGTGTGTGTGGTGTGTGTGTAGTTTGTGGTGTGTGTGGTGTGTGTGTGGTGTGTGTGGTGTGTGTGTGGTGTGTGGTGTGTGTGGTGTGTTTGGTGTGTGTGTGGTGTGTGTGGTGTGTGGTCTGTGTGATGTGTGTGTGCTGTGTGTGTAGTGGGTGTGGTGTGTGTGGTGTGGTGTGTTGTGTGTGTGTGCTGTGTGTGGTGTGTGTTGTGTGTGTGTGCTGTGTGTGGTGTGTGTAGTGTGTGTGGTGTGTGTGGTGTGTGGTCTGTGTGATGTGTGTGTGTAGTGTGTGTAGTGTGTGTGTGGTGTTTGTGTGTGTGGTGTGTGTGTAGTGTGTGTGTGGTGTGTGTGTGTGGTGTGTGTGGTGTGTGTAGTGTGTGTGTGATGTGTGTGTGCTGTGTGTGTAGTGTGTGTGTGGTGTTTGTGTGTGTGGTGTGTGTGTAGTGTGTGTGTGTGTGCTGTGTGTAGTGTGTGGTGTGTGTGTGCTGTGTGTGGTGTGTGTAGTGTGTGTGTGGTGTGTGTGTGTGGTGTGTGTGGTGTGTGTAGTGTGTGTGTGGTGTGTGTGCTCTGTGTGTGTAGTGTGTGTGTTGTGTGTGTGGTGTGTGTGGTGTGTGTAGTGTGTGTGGTGTGGTGTGATGTGTGTTTGGTGTGTGTGGTGTTTGTGTGTGGTGTGTGTGTGATGTGTGTGGCGTGTATGTAGTGTGTGTGGTGTGTGTAGTGTGTGTGGTGTGTGTGTGCTGTGTGTATGTAGTGTGTGTGGTGTGTGTAGTGTGTGTGTGGTGTGTGTAGTGTGTGTGTGTGTGGTGTGTTTGGTGTGTGTGTGTGTGTGTGATGTGTGTGCTGTGTGTGTAGTGTGCTGTGTGTGGTGTGTGTGCTGTATGTGCTGTGTGTGTGGTGTGTGTGGTGTCTGTGGTGTGTGTGGTGTGTGTGGTGTGTGTAGTGTGTGTGGTGTGTGTGCTCTGTGTGTGGTGTGTGTGGTGTGTGTGTGGTGTGTGTGTGGTGTGTGTGTGGTGTGTGTGTGGTGTGTGTGGTGTGTGTAGTGTGTGTGTGGTGTGTGTGTAGTGTGTGTGGTGTGTGTGTGGTGTGTGTGTGCTCTGTGTGTGTAGTGTGTGTGGGATGTGTGCTCTGTGTGTGTAGTGTGTGTGGTGTGTGTGTGGTGTGTGTGGTGTGTATAGTGTGTGTGGTGTGTGCTGTGTCTGTGGTGTGTGTGTGTGTAGTGTGGTGTGATGTGTGTTGTGTGTGATGTGTGTTGTGTGTGATCGTGTTCCCCGCTCTCTCTCTGGCCCGCAGTACGAAGCGAATCGCAAGAAGAATCGTCAGCACGCCCAGGAGCGGAAGCGCAGGCTGGCGTCCAGCCCGTGATGGCGACCATCGCGTCCGGGCTGCCTGCATAGAAGCCTCGGTCCCTCTGTCTCTCTCTCATCTCTC